CTAGCTACAAATCAAAGGACCCGCTGCCAAGCTCCGAGAACTCGAGCAATGCCACGACAGACTTTCACCCTGAATTTGGCTACGAGTCTAAGGACCCGCTGCCGATCTCATAAACACAACGATACTGGTGAGCTTATAAACACATGATAATTCCGAGCACAACGATACTGTCGAGCTTATAAACACAACGACTATCCTGCCCTAATGCGGCGACGAGTTTAACTTCATGCCGGGCTAAGATAGGCTCGGTAATCGTTCGGATTGGACTCCGCCGAGCTCCGCGAGCTCGAGCGACGTCTTCAATAGGCTTTCGCCCTATCTCGACCACCACCGATCTCCACGAGCTCGAACGACGTCTCCAACAGGCTTTCGTCCTAAACTTGACCACTGTTGAGCTCTGCGAGCTCGAGCGACGTCTTCAATAGGCTTTCGCCCTATCTCGCCTACCGTCGAGCTTCGCGAGCCCGAACAACATCTTCAACAGGCTTTCGCCCTAAACTTGGCCATTGCCGAGCTCCGCGAGCTCGAGCACTACCACAACGAGGCCTTCAGACCAATTGGCTATGAGTCAGAGGACTCGCTCTGCCACAACAATCTCTTCAAATACGCATCTAGGCTACGAGTACAAGGACTCGCTCTGCGAGCTCGAGAACCGTCGCAACGATCTTTGCAAACACGCATCTAGGCGCTCCTGAGCTCCGGGAGCTCGAGAACTGCCGCAGCGATCTCTGCAAATACACATCTAGGCGCTCTCAGGCTCTGCGAGATCGAGAACCGCCGCAGCGATCTTTGCAAACACGCATCTAGGCGCTCCTGAACTCCGCGAGCTCGAGAACCGCCACAACGATTTCTGCAAACACGCATCTAGGCGCTCTGAGCTCCGCGAGCTCGAGAACCGCCGCAGCGATCTTTGCAAACACGCATCTAGGCGCTCCTAAGCTCCGCGAGCTCGAGGACCGCCGCAGCGATCTATGCAAACACGCATCTAGGCGCTCTGAGCTTCGCGAGCTCGAAAACTACCGCAGCGATCTTTGCAAACACGCATCTAGGCGCTCCTAAGCTCC